TTTCACTAGTGTCAGGGTTTCCCGCCCGGAACTTTTCGACCACTCCCTCTTCTTCCCCCGCGGCGCCATCTTTAAGTGGCGTCTCGGGCTGTGCGGCACTCTGCTGCGTGGCCGTCCTAGTCAGCATATCTATCACGCTGGTTTGGTTTGCCGCGTGTCGTAGTAGGGTGGTCACCGAGCGAAACAGGATATTAATCATCTTTCCCTTATTCCACTTTTGCCCTGTCCAACCTGTGGCGTTCTGCCCATCGGTCTCAAGACTCTCACGGAGTGCCATTAGGATTTCACTTTCAGCACCCCCGGGATCGAGGTTGGGGCATCTGAATTTATCGGTGGGGGTTTCGCAGCCACTCCCCTCCTTTAGGTACTGGATGCACCTGGCATACTCTTCCACAACAGTGCTGGGCGGGTGGTAAAGAACCGCGGGGATGGAAAGGAGGCATCCTAGGGCTGCGGGGCTGAGGCCAGACACGACCCATTCTTTAAGCGGCTCCCCGCTGCCCTCAGTCGGGTGGAGACATAGCCCCCTATCTTCCCGTCTTGCCCAGCTTGATGGTACACCACGTGGGCCCATAAAGTATCAGCATCCATGGTCGGGGGCCGGTGATGGTTCCCCCACGGGCAATACCTGACTAGCTCGTCAACGTCTCCTTGGTTTCCCCTTTGCCCCGAGGATCCTGTTCATGACGCCATGACCAACCTGACGGTGGGTGGCTGGACCCAGAAAAGTGCTGCGTGAACAGGCCGGGGACAGAAGGGTTACGGGACCTTGTTTCTACTTCTCTTATCTCTCTTCCCGTTGACGGAAAAACAATTAAGGAGGCGGTGTAACAAATAAATGCTTTACTCACACTTTCGTATAGGTGGTTTCCCTTACAGCAGTTTCAAGAATAAACTCACTGTTAACTCGAGAGCTGTAACTCGGTCGTGATGGGGGCGTCCGGGGGGTAGGGATTTCGTGGACGCAGGACCTCCGGTGAGGGTGATCAGGCCTCTCCGATATGGTGTGGGTCCCAGCTTTTTTGGCGCGCGCGCTTTTCCTTTTAAACAGGCTGCATCCACCCGCCCCCTGCCAATCAGCGCGGGCCGGGACTGCCCATCTCGTGGCTATCAGGCCGCGCCCACTACTTCCCCCATGCCACGAGCACAACTTGCTCTCATGTTTGGCGTTTGGTCATTTATATTTTCTCTTTTCTTTATTACATCTTTGTTTATTTGTTTGCTAACTTGTTTAGTCATTTGCAAGGAGTATCCAAGAAAATAATATAACTGTGTGCTTGATCCAAATGGCCACCAAGAGATTTTCATTTTTGTATTCTAAATATTGCACCTGCACTGATTCCGTAAAAATGAAAATGTTCTTTATTTTCCTTATGAATATTTAGTCATAGCTGCTGAATTCAGTGATCTAAAGCAACTATTTACTTGAGCTGCTTTCTATTCCTTGCCAACAGAACTGGTAACCAAGCTCTAAACAGCTGTGCACAGCACTGAAGACATCACTGTACAGCAGATACCACCAAGGGTGAAGTAGATGGGGCAGCACGAGGCTAGCTAGGGAGCACTTCTACATTTTTCTTGAGTAATGATGTGGGGGAAAGGAAGATCCCTGTGGAGTTCAAGGCTGTTAAACTAGCTAAAACATCTTTTTTATCTCATGGCATGGGCATACAGGATAATGGAGAAACTAAGTGTAGAGACAGATGCAAGTGTTGTAGCCATATCTGATATGGTTCTTTTGATACAACTGTACTACACCTCCATGATTCTGCAGCCAGGGCCATCCGGAGCAGGGGGGGGGAGGGGCGGAAATCGGGGTGACCGCCCCGGGCCCTGCACTTTGGTGGGCCCTACGGTCAGTCCCATATAGGCCCTGCCACGGCCACCATGTGCCACCGCTGCCGAAAGCCACCAGCTCTGCTCTGGCTGCTCCCCCCAACCTGGGCTCCACACAGGTTAATATGCCCCAGGCCCTGCACACCCCTAGCAGGGGCTCTGTCTGCAGCAATACAAGTGCAGCGAAATGTTCCAGTTTTAATTTTGCTTCATTCAGAGTTTAAATTAGAGCAGCTTAGCTCACTTGCACTGCTACAGGCTCATGCAGATGTGATAGGGAGATGGTAACAGCTGATGCAGACTCCAGAGCTCCCTCCTCCCCTTATAAAGCAGCTAAAAGATCTGTTTTTTCCGAAGCGCAAGACAACAATAGCCTCAGAATGCCCTATTGTCACTTTTCAGAACAGACAACACTTTGAAGTTCCCAAATTCTGCCCCTACTGACATTCGTGCAAAACCTGGGCGTGCTCTAGGGCCGGCTTCCCAGATTAGAACTCGGATACTAAGGTCAAAGCCTGTTCAGGGTACCACTTGTTGCTCCACTTTGGCTATTCCCAAAATAAAACAATTAAAAGCTACTTTACCCTTAACTCATGGGCTTCCTAGCAGCATCTCCCCAGGCCTTCTATAAACCATCTTTGCTTCAAAGCCTTCCAGGGTCTGCTGAAAGAGCAAACCTGGGTCCTGCACCTCCGTTCTTCTACTGAGCTCCCTTAGTCTTTATAGGACTCCTCAGGCCTCTCCAGCTGGGTCTGACAAGCCACTCTACCAGGCCCATGCTTTGTCCTTAACGGGCTCAGCCTCATAACAGGTTGGCTGGCTCCAGTCTCACAAGTCTAAAGGGGGCAGACTCACTTTGTTACAACACCCTTGACTGCACTTAGACCAGGATTTCACTCAGGGCTCCAAATACTGATTTCACAGGGCGCTGTCCATATCAGAATGACAGGATGATCAAGCCTCTAAATCAATGTACAAATGAACAGCTGTAGGGACTCTCAAAGTACAGTGATAAAATGAAGGGAGTGAGAAAAGTAGCAAACATTTACCCGGTCAGTGTGCTTGGGTATGGCAAGGTGAGCCATCCCAACCTAAATCCATAGCATACTACTGGGTCCATTACCAGGTTTTCCATATTTCTAGCACTAATTACCGCTGAAGAAGTGATGGGCTAAGTACAATGTTCTGCAATGGCAATCTCTGTGCACAGTTTGTAGCTGCTAGTTTACATTCACTTGAAGTAGGAATTGCAGGCACTTTGATAAGTGGATTGACAGCTTCCCCAGTTTCAGTGGAGCTTCTCTAAATGCTACTCTATTCTCTGCTGAAATGTTATGTAACTTTTTGCAGCTGCTTCTCAGTTCAAATGCGAGCTTCAAAAGAAAAGCACTGGAGTGGCTGAATATATTAGAAATTAACCTGGGACATGCCCTATGTTTTAAAAGTTTGTCAGAAGGAAAAAAGAAAAGATTTTAAAACTAAAACTACTGCACATTTTTACTGACTCAAGATTACCACATTTAGAATTCAATAACATGAAAAGGGTAGTCCCTGCAGCCAAAAAATGAAAGGCATTTTGGATGTAGAGACTATTTTGATTAGATAGTAATGCAGGGATTTCAAATTACTTGCATAATGTATAGTATGTACAAGTACACAACGCAAGCATGGTCTCCAGTGGTGGCAGACTAGCAAATTAAGTCACTGAACACTATTATGCTTCAGGGAATTTAAAGCCAAAATGAAGTAAACAAATATCTTCTTTGCTGTAACTTAAAACAAAATTCTCAGCTTTATAACCCCACATGGTGTAATTGTATGTGAACAAAGAAAACGGTCCCTAAGTTTCTGTGATTTAGGAAATTTAAAAAAGCAGAGAACTCTAGCACATGAAGCATACTTTCTCAGCAAATACTGCAGAAAGCTAGGAAACAACAAAAATGGCACCACTTGTTTATGGCCATATAATAGCCTAAATGATATGATAAAGAGCACACAAATTCACCAGGTGAATCAAAAGGAACTGTGATAAAGTGTACAAGAGCAGGAAGATGTATGTCATGTACTTAATTATGTGTGCTCCCCATTTTTTAGCAGTACACTTTAAAATTACTAGATTATAGTCACTTCAGATAAAATTCAACCTTCATGTGTCATGAAGACCCTATTTAGAGAGTTTTAGTAATGCACAGACCTCATCTGAGGAAAGTAATTTCACTCTGTACATTTACGGGCTCATTTCTATTACTTACTTTTAAAAATAATACAATATATAATATTTCTAATGCAACAATTTTATTGCCAATATTAACTATACATATCTATAGCTGTGATATGCAGCTTTACTACCACCACCAGCATGAACAAAGGCAAACTGAGGATTCATTCATAAACAGAAGGATGACAAAGAATCAAGCACTGGCTTTGCTCGGTACTTTAGGCCAGGTTGCCAGCTGATGTAAACTGGTATCATTCTATTGATATCAATGGAGAAAAGCCAATTTATGTTACCTGGGAGGCCAGCCTTCTCTCATTTATAAAGAGAAAGGAGTATACTGCAAGAGTGAGCAGAAGAGCTCACAGACATTTCATATACAGCCTATATTGTACATATAATATAGAGGAGTTGAACTAAATGGAGGCTATAGTTTCAACAATAAGGCATAGAACTTAGTCATAGTTCACAATTTGACTCAGGACACTGCATTTTTTACCTTAAAGCGTCAAATACTAGAGAGGGAACTTTTATTCATAGTTTTATCAGAGAAAAATAAGACTTATTTTTCCATGAAGTATTTTGAAGATTCATTTCCATTGGGTAAATGAAAATAAGAACATTGGAAGAAAGAAAAATTACTGCATTTTTGCTGACCCAAGATTACATTCTTCATACTTTCTTTCTTTTGGATCATTATCTCACAAGGTAATCTTGGAAATAAAATGTTCAAAGCCCAGATGTTTTCTCTCTGTTGGAACAACTAATGACAAACACAGTAACTATGCTTCAGAGTAACAGAATAGCACACTGAAAACTTTAAAAAAAAAAAGTCTGAGGATTTGCTTAACTGATTGAACTAACCCTAAAGAAGCTGATACACACATAAAGGTCACGTGTGTAACTGATAAAATAACCAGTTTCTAACAAGATAGATAAAACCATATAGTCAGTTTCACAACTGGCATTTATTGTTACATTTACTAATTTAGGGCTGAAGTCACCAAGATACTTAAAGATTCCCACTGAAAAAAAATAGACTACTCACAGGTTTAGAAGCAACTCATATGCTTAAAGCAGCTTACTGAATCAAGAACTGGGTAGTTTAATAAGCTGGATTCATATTTACATGCAAGTGTCTAATAGCGGTCTCAATTTGGCCTCATATTATTGTAACAAAGATGTATTTCTTTTGCCATTTTCTTTCTGGCTACAGACAGAAAGATGTTCAGTGTGTGGGTAATTTACAGAAATTTGTTTTAAACCCTACTTGGGAATATATACAAGTCTTTGAACAACATCAGTGGCATTCCACATCATCACAGACATGCTTGAGAGGATGGACAATGCTATTTTTTCATCTCCAAGATTGTGCTGCCTGGTCCTCTGTGCTTAGCACTGCAGATGTTGCAGAACTGTACTGGGAAAGCCTGCAAGTAAAAAAAAATGCGTCTTCAGTTACGACATTTTGCAGAAATCCATATGAAAATTATTTGCCCAAATTAGAATTTCAGAAGGGTAATGCAACGAACTCGTGATTTTACCTTGTTTGATTCTTTATGTGCAAGTTAAATTTTCCTTCAAAATGTCCCACTGTGTCTAGGCATTAAAAAGCCCATTACAACACTGACTAGCAGCCATGTAGCTGAAATTCCAAGGTCTAAAAGCTAAGCCAAGAAGCATTAAAGCAGTAGAGAACCCTACATAAGTTTTTGTCAGTCAATTTTTTACTAAAGCCCCTAAATGGACAAGATCATAATTTTAGACCAGCTCTTTGAGTGAATAAACACAGGCTGGCAATTTACTAGTCACAGTAAATACAGCTGGTAAGTACATGTGATCAAACTGCCAACAAACAATTATTTTCTTAAGAGGAAAAATGTAAGATCTTATTCTGGGACTACTCTAGTAAAATAAAAATGTATGCCATTTAAACAAACGGTATGCAGCGTGTGAATACAAAAATACTTTGGGTACAGACCGATAAAACAACTTTATCAATATCAAAGGATACTGATACCTAGGATGATCATAAGCAAATCGGGGACACTCAGGACACTGCCCCTGCTCAAGTCACCAGCACTGCTGCATGCAGCAACAAAGGCCAGTGGGCAGGGGTGTGGATACAGTCCAGCAAGGAGGCGGAGCTGCCTGGCACACCATGCTGCCCTAACACCTCTAATTCTAGGACTTCTATTTAAATTTTAACTAACGGGCCAGGAGTGACCTATGAAATCCAGGACCATCCCAGCCAAACCAGGATGTATGGGTATCCTACTGATATGGGTTGTTATGATGCAACTCTTACATCTGCATGAGAGATTCTGTAGTGATACAAATGTAGCAAAACCACTCCAACCCTCCTTCACTTGGGGTCAAAGTTAGGGTGATTTAACTACCTTGTATTACTGCAGGATCATGAAGACATAATAGACTATGCACAGTCCCAAGCTGCAGCTTACTCTCTCCTTTTGAAGTGGCTAAAATATACATCCATTCATAACCTTAGTTCATTTGCTACATTAATTTTACCATGTTATTTGTCAAGAGGGAATACTTCTTTAGACCCGTGTTTCTCAGCCAAAGGTTGGGTAGGTGGGACTTCAACTCATTTGAAAATTTCCATTAATGATTAATATAATATGAAAATGCATGTAAACTTAAAAATACACTTCTTAGAAAAAAGCAGGGTTTTGTTTTTATCATGGTGGGACCAAGATTTTTTGACAAAATGGTTGGTGAGACTTAAGGTGCAAAAGGTTGAGAACTACTGCTTTAGACAACAGCTTTGCTTTCCAGGGAAACAGACGCAGTTGGAAAACATCTTAACTTCCAGTTGCTGTGCTTGCTTTGATGCTTTTATTTCTAAATTCTAACCCAATTATGCATAGAAGTTATTTTTGCGTTTCTGCTTCACAAACAAAATATGATTACTCTGGCAAAGGAAAATAACTTCAGCAAAAAACCCCTAAAAACAAATAAAATGATTAAAATAGTCATTAACTGAAAATAATTTTTTTCTTTTCCAGGTCAATAATCAATGCATACAACTTGCTCAAGAAATTATTTTTATGGCATGTAAGTAATTAAATCATGTTTTAAGTTTGAAGCTGTAATGGAAAGGTTTCATCAAATATAAATGGACCTCATTAATTTCATACCTTTTAGATGCATTTCATATTCAAGATTACAGAAAGCCAAAATATTTCTCTTGTCCAAGAGCATAAATTTTTATTTTAAATTGTGTGTATTTTGCTTTGGATTAACCACTGCTCTCTGAAACGCACACTGAGATAGAGTCAGGAATAATTACTATAATCACGTTATAAAACCTGATAAACCTACGCCCTTCTCTGTGGATGGGAACAGTAAATCATTTGTCCTTTTGTCTTTGACGAAGGTGATACAGAGATTAAGTTGGTTGCTTACTGTGTTAGGTACAGGGAGGCAATCTTTGTGAAACATATGTCTGCAGTGGAAAACCATCACGCTGAAGGATTTGGATGCATCTGCAAGTGGGAAGCAAAGAAATATGTTATAAAAAGGACAGTGAAACAGACTTGATAGCTTATAATATATGTTACCCATGCAAAAGCTACTGACATGCTCTATTATATGTACGTTTTAGGTAGTCACTTTCAGATCAATTTATTTTTAAAAAATTACAGATTAATAGGTGGTACAAGTAGTGTCACTTATAGTTACTGCTGCCCAATACACTTATAACACCCTTTTATCTCAATGCTTAAAACTTTCTGCTCAGTCTGTTTAGACTCAAGTTTTCAAAGCCAGAGGTCTGCCTAGTACTGATTTTTTAGGTATTTTCATCTAAAATAGTGCAGTTACTTTGAGAACAAGAGGCATTTGCACACATGTAAGCGTCGCTGTCTGGGTGCTTTGAAAAGCCCCTGGCACTGTGTCGCTTGCAGTTGTATAAGCAGTGAAATGTGCATCAGCACAAAGAAAATGGTGGTGGTCCACTTTCGCACTAAAGCATGTTGGAGGTGCTTCAATTCAAAAGCGCACTGCTGCCATTTTCTCTGCGCTGACGCACATTTTGCCACTTATACAACTGCAAGTGGTGTACTGCACATCAGCTCCTGTGTGGAGCAGACTCTATTAATCAAGTACGTTCCAAAGCAGCAGATCTCTGGCACCTCTGAGAACTAAAATATACGTGTATAAATGCCCAAGGTTAGGACACCTTAGCTGGACATGTGCTCAGGACCACTCTAAGGAAGCTGCATCACCTCATTTCTGGGTTGGTAGATATGGAGCAGAAGCAACTGGATGGGGCAGGCTTCATAGAGGAACTCCTGGGTATGGCCTGAGGGGAGCACAGACGAGCCACGGGGTGGACCTTGGAATACTGGTCCAAACACGAACAAATCATAAGCCTATGCATATCACCCGGACCATCTCACTTCTCACAGAGTATCACCATCTCTGTCACCCAGGATAGGGGGCAAAAACCAAGTAAACCAGCGTCACGGAGTTGTCCTTCTCTGGTAGATTTTCTATCACCACTAAAGTGTAGGTCAAGGCTTTGGTGGCAGGCAGCACAGCAAAGTTCTGGCATGATTCTTGCCTATAGGCTGACGAAAACATTCCATGCTCAGTTCTTCTAAAGCACATTAATTTAGTAAAAAGATGAAAACTAAAACTGAATTGAAAGTGCTCTGCTTCTTCTAACGATACCATTGTGCTCCATACCTCATTTTTTCCACCGAAGAGAAAATCAGCTTATCCACCTATTAGGCATAAGTATTCCCATTTGTGGATAGCAGGCCAACGGATACTGTACTAGTTTAAGCTATAACATTTCTACCCTCAGGAAAAATTTAACAAACAAACAAAAACAACTGCAAAGAAAAATAAAAAACACACCTGCTGTATCACAACTATGTACACTATCCATTACCATACATCTTTATAAAATAATATATTTTAAAATTTCTGTTTTCTTATGCTAAAAGTGCATAAGTTGCTTTAGATGTCATAGTATTGACTGAGCCAAATGTTTTCAGAAGTTCAGATAAGGGCTAGGGACAGAAATTACACATAAGCTGGGATAAGTGATTGGAAACCAGTTCAAATCTGTAACGCAGACGTTCAGTGCACGTAAACAGCTTTCAAAATGGCCAAAACCAGTTTAAGATAAACCTGGATGGATGTAGTAGCTGACTTCACTGATTTAGGTTAAATCAGTTTATTGAACTTCTGTCCCAGATCCCCTCCACATTCAAGTTAGCTCACAGTCCCCCAGCATCCCAGGATGCACCTCCCGCACAAACCTCCCTTTGCAGGGTGGGCAGGCTAGCCTTAGCCCAAGTTGTCTGCTAGAGCTAAGCAAGGAAGTGCGCTCTAGTGCCCTCAGGCTTCTGGTTGGACCACTGCAGGCATGCGACTATTTCCAGAATTAAAAGTGAAAGTCTGTTCATTTGCTTATCAGTTCAATCTATGGAGCTTAGACTAACACGAGAAGATTGACTCAATTCATCTTTGGGCTTTTCGACTGTCTGTACTTAGCCAAGAGGTTTATTCCATGAACAATAAGAAGAACCATGTTCCACAGTTGGCAAAATGAACCCTCCAACCAGCAAAATTGAAAGGCATACCACCGACTTAAAGCTGTAGTTTCAGAGGAGGCTACAGAACATCAAGAACCAGTGGTGGCAAATGAAGGCTATGGAGATCCAGAGTTTTGTTGATCTACATGTCATGACAAGCTTCCTTCAAGCAATAAAAGCCTTACATGGGCCATGTTCCAGTGGCCCAACTCCCTTGCAGTCCCAGGATGTTTCTACCATTCTCACTGATACGTATCCATCAAACAGCGCTGGAAGGGGCATTTCAAGATTCTACTGTAAATGAGGTCTCAACTGCCACCATTGAGGCCATCCCTCAACCCCAAGTATTAGAATCTCTTGCTGATCCCTGATCCTTCAAGAAGCATGCCATCACTTAGACCAAGAATAAGGTGCCAGGACCAGAGGGCATTCCCACAAAGGTTTTCAAGCCGATGGAACAGCACTAGTGCAAAAACTTCACCAACTTCTCATCAATATATGGGTTGATGAGGAAGCTACACCTGACTTAAAGAATGCCAACATTGTGACCATCTTCAAGAAAGGGGACAAGTCAGTATGTGGGAACTACTGAGGCACTGTCCTCCTCTCCATTGCTGGGAAGATTCTTACTCGCACCCTTCTGAATTGCCTCCTCCCCCTTGCCAGAGATGTCCTTCCAGAATCCCAGTGTGGCTTTAGACCATTGTGGGGTACCACCGACATGATTTTTGTTGCACGACAGGTCCAGGAGAAGCTGTAGAGAGCAACACTAGGAGCTGTTTATGGCATGCATTGATCTACCCAAGGCCTTGAACTCCATCAATTGTGAAGATCCTGGTTAGGTTTGGTTGTCCACTGAAGTTCATCAGCATTCTCAGGCTACTGCATGATGGGATGAGTGCCACAGTCCTTTGCAATGGATCAGAGACAGACCCATTTACAATCTGTACTGGTGTCAAGCAGGGCTGTGACACCACCCCCAACACTTTTTTCCATCTAGCTTGCTGAGATTTTGATTCTCATCCATGACCTTCTTCCTCCCGGAATTGGGGTTAAGTATTAAATTGATGGCCAGCTTTTCAACCTGAGGTACCTTCACAGCAAAACAAAAGTTACCAAGACTGGCATCACCGATCTTCAGTACACTGATGACTGTTGTCCTTACACACATTGAGACCGATCTGCAGTCCACCCTTGACCTTTTTTCAGGTGTCTATCTTAGCCTGGGACACTCAATTAATATTTGGAAGACCAAGATGCTTTATCAGCCTGTCCCAGCACAAGTTGCACCATTGAGCATTTCCCATACCTTGGCAGCCACCTCTCCCAGTCAGTCAGTCCTGATATAGAAATAGAACATATCATTTTAAAAAGCTGCTTTGCCATGTCTTTATTGACCAGGATTTGCAGATAGAAACTAAGATCCTGGTCTACAGTGTGGTGTATATGGGAAGACCACTGCACCAATGCCAGCAATCTCCTTGCAGCTAACATAACCAGTACTGAGTCACAGATCATGAAACACCAACTCCACTGGGCTGGCCGCTGTGTGTGGGTGGCTGACACTTGTCTCCCAAAGCAAATCCTCTTCTTTCAACTCAATCACAGTAAAAGGACTGTGGAGGACGGGAAAAGCGCTACAAGGACACCCTGAAAGCATACCTTAAGAAGGGTGTAGTTTGAAGCTGTGTTGTTCAAAGGACATAGGCAGACAAGGTTCTACAAGGTATAATAAATATCATATTTACCAACTCAAATAGTTGGAAAAATTTCTCTTAGCAAGTTTTCGGGTTTGAAAACCCTTTGCCAGGCTGTTGTGGAGTACTATTTCAATTACTATACTCCACAACAGAACCATTGAGCCATCAGCGTTCCTGGATCTTACAGCTGCAACTTCAGAAATGTAATACATCTCATCCAATGCACCAAATGCCCTGATGGAAAATAGGTAGGAGAGACCAAACAACAGCTGTGCGCCAGAATGAAATCTATTAAAGACAGGAATACCCAATTACCAGTGGGGGCACATTACTCAGAAGAAAATCACCGTCTCTACAATCTCTCAGTTCTAATCCTTAAAGAGAATTTACAAAACACTTTTCACGGATGAACCTATGAACTTCACTTCATCAATCTCCTGGATACAAAAAATCATGGACTAAATATACACATTGGATTTATGACACATTATAACCTGCCTCACATCTTAGTCCCCAGGTACCTCTCCACTACTTACCAGCTACATTCATTCCCTATTCCTCCCCTGCCCCCCGCCCCCACCAAGCCTGTCTCACCCACTGACTCCTCCATTTACATCTTCACTGACTGGCTTTCTTGCATGAATACCAGCCTCTGGTTTCTTTACTATTCATTCCTTCCAGTAAGAGCACACACCAACTGCAGATGCTTCATCAGCCTGATGAAGGGTTTTTAAACCCAAAAGTATGCTAAAAAAATGTTTTCCAATTATTTCAGTTGGTCAAAAAATATCAGATTTACCCAAAGAACCTTGTCTATCTTAATAAGGTTGGCATTAACCTTACAAACTGGGAAGCGCTAGCTGGTAACAGGTCTCAATTGCACTGTATCATCTATCAAACTATAGCACACTTCAAAGAAAACCGTCTTGCTCAGGAAGCTGAGAAATGGAAGAGGCGGCAAGAAAGTGCACAACATCCCTGCCAATAGCTGTGCACCTCCCATGGCACTACCTGTCACATCTATGGAAAAAAAAACCTTGCAGAGCACAGATTGGACTCTTCAGCCATCTTAAAACTCACCAATCATTTGCACCCCCCGCCCCCCAGCAGATGATATCCTCATATTGAAAGATAGCCAAAGACTTAGCCAAGAGGTTTACTCCAAAAACAGTAAGCTTTTGATTTCTTTTTCCTCATCAAATGTCCTACCTGAAGGAAGTATAGGTGAGAGGCATGATTCACAGATGTTCTCCTCTGAAAGAAAAAAACATATTAAAAAAGTTGAAAGACAACAAAGGTTATGTTTATTACCTCTGCCACAGAAATAACTATAGAAAAGTACCTCCAGGACCTAATGCTCCATGCTACTCTGAGGAATTGTTTGAAATACTCTATGCAAACTATTATTGATGTAAGCATGGAACAGAAGCAGCAGAGTTATTAAGAAGACATGTTTTAAGGTACTCAGATTCTGTAGTGAATGGACAATTTAAGAACCTAAACTGACAGATCAGAAGACCCAAGAAGAGCTGTGAAAGAGCAAAAGAATGGTTACTGTTTCACATGCAGTGTTCTGAAACTGTACATATGCATCATTAATCATGTACACATGCATGTACAGGCAGTCCTTGACTTATGTTTCGAGTTACAATGTTTTGCACTTACAATATTTATAAATTGACACCGTTTCAAGTTCCTGACGTCAGTTTTGACTTTGCAACACTTGATCCAATGTGACGCCACGCTAGCGAACAAGTTTGCTGCATCACCCATCCCCCTGAAGAACATCTGTCCAAACTTCCTTGGACACTTTCTTTAAGAAAGTGGACAAGGCTCCAGAAAAACCTGCAGCCAAGACTCCTGAGAAGACTTCAGCCAAGAACCCTTCAAAAAGTCCAACAAAGTCACCTCAAAGAAGTCCTTCCAAATTAATATGATTGCTATTTACAATATAAATACATTAATGTAGCTATATTACTCATCTATAATTGATCAAGTACAAAATTCTGGGGTATTTTTGGTAAAAATAGGGTATCGGGCCTCGGTTCAGGAACCAACCCCATTTATAACATTGTTTCTTATGAGAAAACTGGTTCTGAGTTATAACGTTTCGACTTAAGACACGGTTTTCAGGAACCAATTGTGTCACAAGTCCAAAGACTGCCTATATCAGGAACTCTGCTCTTCAATCTATATTTTTTCTAACTTTCTAAGCTTAGAATTACTTTCCCCCTCCTTCCCTTCATTGGCATTTTAAAATATGTTTCTCTCTCTCTAAACATTGTATTACAATTCCTTGTTTAGTTAATGTTTTGATTAACTGAATGCTTGTGTAGGCATGTACAGCTGTTTGCACCCCTTGAAGGTTACAGAACCCAAGATGCAATGTTTTATATCATAATCTGAGCAGAAACTACTCAAGTCAAGATAAAACAGTAGAGGCTGGGATCTGTACTAACCGGATGCATTATTTCCCCATTAAAAAAGAGGGTTGGCTACATTCTACTCCATGTTTTACAAGTTGCATGCAATATCTGGGTCTTTGGTAAACTTCCACTGGAACCCTTTGTTGGCTACCTCTGATCAGCATATAAAGCACACAGCTTTAAATTTTTGAAGGCTACCCTATTTCATTTGAACTCACCATCCACAAGGACTCCTTTCATTTGAGTACGATGCATTTTCTTCAACAGAGAAAGAGAATCAGCCACAAGTATCTTCTTGCACCCCTCACGCAGCAAAATCTAACACACAAAAGAAAACAACTATAAGTTATGTAAACCTTTATATACTGAGACAGAGAAAAGCTCCATTATGTCTGGACAAACATCATGAGGACATTCTTAAAACTAATGTAGCAAATGCCTTGCTTATCGCAAATATCATATCAACATCTGAAGCACTCTCAGCATCTTCATTTGCAAGGCTTCCAAAACTGCTGAACTTAAATAGGAGTAGGTGATATTCTCCAGTAATATCCAAGGAAGCAAACTTTTGTAACCATAACCAAACTAAATGGAAAGTTATGATTCATGAAGAAGCCAAAATTTAGGCAGCCTTGTACCAAATGTTAAAAACACTCCTAAATCAATACAAACAATGACTTTGCTTATGTATAATGATCCACAAAAGGTTGTTTTGGAAACACACTTGTAAGTCATTCATGACCAGCAGGTAATGAGAGTATTTAATTTTAAAATCGCCAGCACAAGAAACACTTCACTATCAGACAGAGTAGAGAAAAAGGGATAAAATATTCAGAAACTAGTTCCAAACAAAAAACAGCCAAGTTTCTGATTTTAGAAGGTCAGATCCAGTGTCTTGTAACACAAAAAGGTCTTTCATTGTAATGATCCGGTCACTAGCAAACCTCTTGGATATTATAGTAAATTGAAAATCTTGATAACTTATTTTGAGAATATTTTCAATAAAATGTTGATAAAGAGGTTACAGAAATTTCATGAAAAGTGCGCCAATTTATTTCTCAAGTTTAAAATGCTATTTTCTAACCAACCCATCCCTATACCTTATGTTCAAAAACTGATCAGCTCTACTAATGTTTGAGCATCTAGCTTCTCTGAAACTTTAATAAAATATGAAATGAGAGGAAATTACATATTTGTCTTTGCACTTGGGATGACTATTGATTTACTTTTCCGGTAAACAATTCTACCTCTGGACAACATGCTGATAGTCAACCTTGGACAAAAGAACTCTGCTTAGGCATCTAATATAATCTGCAAAGTAGGTTATGCAAACAATCAATAAGTGAATGAATGTAGCAGAGAGAACTGATTCTTCAGATGTGTTATCTACCTGAGCACCATTTTTGTTGTGCATGTCCCATGTCTGAGGACAGCACTGTTTGGCTAGTAGTGCTCATGGGTCACACCTGTGCTCTAGAATATCCCAATACTCACTCCTTCACAAGGACATAAGTAGTAGAGGGGCCTCAGTCATCTTTCAGTACCCTCAACAGTACAGAATCCCATGAGACTAGGGCTTTGTATTAGTATAAGGTGACAGGTTGTGGATAAGATAGTTTCAAAGAACCAGTTACTATATGGCCATACATACTGTATTCCCGATTCTTTCTTTTGAGTGATTATTCACACAGATTATACTAATAGAAAGTTTACCACAAAGCACTTCATCACCAAACCTGATTCCAAGATGTTCTTTTCTCATAAGATCCTTTCTGTACAAATTACCATACAAGCAGTAGCTTTCTCACAATTAGCTCTCTCCCGTGGCTCTACCTCCACAAAAAAATGGGACAGAGGAATTTTCCTATAGTGCCTCACCATTTCTAGTCTGTTACATCCTTCAGAGTACATCCAGAGGCAGTCTCTCCCCTTTCATGAACGCTTCCCCTCACTCTACCCAACCTGTACTTTTATCAAACGCTAGGTAAAAAAGTAAAGAGAAAAAGAAGATACAAGTCCCTACGTTTTCTTCTAGGTCCCCCTCAAAAAGACATTTATTAATGTACTACAAGCAATATGCATTCCCAACACTAACAAAAATCCTTTAGCTCTTATTTTAGTTCAAATTTGTTTTCCACCAACATGTTATTTAAACAGTAGTGCTGAATTTCCAGAAAATAATAAAAGATTTACCATTATTTCTTAGTAGAAGTCCCACTTATTCTCTAATGCCTTTCATTAGATGGACATTATTGTCTGGCAATAATAGTAATTCCAGGCCTGGAATCAATGGGTCTTGAATTATACAGAATTACATATTACTGCAAGAAAAAGGGCATTTCAATTTCTACAATGTGAAGCATGTTTATGCAAATATGACAAACCTAAGTAACTCCCAAGTTCCCTTTTCTCTATTCTGCATGGAAGGTTTAGAATAATTAACCTCCATGTGCTTTCCAAAGAGAACTCTTGGTCACAATTTCAAGTATAACAATCTTACAGATGAAGTGTGTTAAGGGAACAATTGTCTCTTTTGACTGTACTGCAGAGATGCACAACATATTGAACTGGACCATTTTCAGCTGTAGAGCTAACTGAAAGTGTATCACAGCAGCTTGATTTCACAGCTAAGTGAACAGTGAACACAAGCCTCTCTCTCACAGGCTGTGGATTCATTCTTTTGGACTGCCCCAAAAAATTAGTCAGCTGTATCTCTGAAATACATAAAAAATATCTATAAAGAAAAAAACCTGTGAAACTGGACCCCCCCCAAGTGACAGTTGTATTATTTAATATTAGATACAACACAAACCTTTCTGATGGTTCAAAATGAGCTGAATCTAGTTACACAAAGCATTGCAATTTATAGAGCAACATTTCTCTCTCTCTTATTCTAAAGAGATCTTGATGATTCTGACCTGTGGATTTTTCCTTTCCATTCATTTCACCCAAGGACTCCAGAAAAAGGCAAATTTAACCACAGAATAACTACATCAGCTTATAAAAAGTGACTTGAGGCTTTATAAAGGAATAGCTGATGGACATGAATTTGCACATTTATAGAACCGCCTCATTTAAAATGTTCTATGTATCTAAGCTCTAGCATAGGGATTGATTACTTATATTTCAGATATGCAAATTAGTTACCCTATCTTCATCACTATATGTAGTGTGTTCTCACTGCTAACTGTGATTACTGAAAACTGTATTTGCTTATGTACCAAAACCAAGTTGAACTATTAAATTATCAGCA